TTATTATTATTATTATTATAATTTTAAATAATTCTTATTAGCAATAAAGTTTTGATGGTTACTGGATTACCTGAAAATTTCGCATCTTGTATCATATCTTCTTCCTTCCATTTTTTCTGGAGCCATCCAACGTAAAACTTTTAGGTCTGGAATTTCCTTAGATATGTCATTAATCTCACGAGCCATATCAAAATTTGCAATCTTGGGTTCATAACGTTCTGTTAACTATTTAAATAATTAGAATAATGAATATTTGATTTAAAATATCGTATTAAAATTACCAAATATGAATTCTTTTTGCAAATTTCTTACCATAATATTCTCACAACGAATGTCATGATGAAATACGTTCACCGAATTTAAAAATGCAATACCACGACATATATCACGAGCTATAACTACTTTTGTTTCCCACCCAATATCGCGTCGGTCATAAAAATCTTTCAAAGATCCTAACTCTGTCCATTCTAAAACTTGAACATCTTTCCCTTCATCTTTAGATAACCCGTGAAATTTGAGAATATATGGACATATTCCTAATTTCCCTATCATTGCTAGATATGTTTGAACTTTCGTTTTTTCATTGAGATTTATAGATTTACACTCAACTTCAATGACTCGTTGATACATTCTCTTAACTCTTTTCGCATTATGAGGTGCTAAAGATGTGCGACAATATTGTAATTGATTAGCATCTATTTTTAGCGGTCTAAAAACTGGTTTATCTCCCACTTGATCATGAATACTATCAATTTTTTCTTCAAGTTGTGACTTCATTACTTGAACTTCTTGAACAACTTTTTCGACCTTTTCAATTACAGTTTCTCTAGTATAAATAAGAAGCTTTTATACATACCACAATTAATATTATAAATATTATAAATTTTAGTAATATCTTTTATTTATATATATTATTCTTTATATTGATATATTTTTATATAATAACCTTTTTTATTTCGTCATGGTCTTCTTCTAAACTTTCAAAATCTCTTTTCCTTTGAGCTTCATTATCAATCATCATACTGAAGTTTAAATCTCTCATTGCAGTGTCGAATTCACTTGTCAAGTTCATAAACTTTTCTTTGATTAAACTTGCCTCAAACGTTTTTCTAAGATTTCCCATTTTTAATAATTCTTCCTCGAATACTTTAATCTTAACTAAAGTATTCGCAAATCTTTGAAAAGTATTATAAAAATTTTGATCTTTAAATTTTTCTTCATTAATTTTTTTGGTCCGTTGCAATTTTTCAATTGCACCCCGAGCGTCAATCACACGTTCCATTAACCTGGCGCATGTATTTTTGTTAAATTGAGCCGCATCGTGAAGATCAATAATTTCTTTAATTAATTTCGTTGCGATATCGAATAATGGTATATAAGGTGCTACGGCATCAATAACTTTTCCTGAGATATATAAAGTTCCTTTGCCATAATCTTTTAACGTATCAGAACCCGATCTAGTATTTTCTTGAATTTTAGTTGTCATTTGTTTTTTAAGGTTATGTATGATTTTTTAACGTTCTCAAACTTTCAACAAACATTTCTTATATAAGTCAACTACCCAACATTTTTTGTAACAACCAAACTTTATTTAGGCCGTGTGTATTTATTAATGTTTCACTACAGACCAAACATGCCATAATAATAAATTTGAATAGTCCATTATGTCTTCAACTAGTTGGGCTGAAGAAGATTGTGCCAATCGTGATAAAGCTCTCATGCCTATAAAAAAAAACTCATTTATGCGTAAATCTTTTTTACATTATGATTTAAACTATGAACATAAAAATCGGTATTGTTAACAACCTTCTGAATTTGGTGATGTTATAATCAAATAAGAAAGACTTCTTTTTTTTTACATTATGACTTTACTATCGCTATTTAAGTTGACTTTTAAATTTTTAATGCTAACTAGAAGTGGTTAATCTAGAAATTATTATGTAAATTATTTGCATAAAAATATCGATTTCAAACTGGTTGGGTCGTTCGTTTGCCTGGTCAATCAGTCTAAATTGGATTGGTTTAGTCGCTTGGTCTGCAAGGTAAATCAATCCAAATTAAAGATGATGTGTTACTTGCCAATTCGAAACACTCGAAACATGCAGGATTAAGAATAATAATGAATATCGATACGTATTACGTAGAATTTACTGTTACGTACGTATCTAATAAATAAAATTATAATCGTTATTTAATTCTGAATTCAAAATTTTTTTATAGACCAAAAGTTGTCTATACGTACTGTACGTATTTTTTGAGTCATTTTTAAATTTCCTTATTTGGAAGTATATTAAACAAAGTAATTAAAATTAGAGAAAGTTAGTGTTAAAGATAGTTTAAGTTTAGGACAAGTTTAGAGGGAGTCGTTCAACACTTTATTAGTATCCCAAAGTAGGTTTAGACTCCCGTTTTGCTTTTTTTTATTTGACACTTCTTTTTTTAAACTTCCAAATAAGGGGTACATCTAAAGTGGATATAACGATAACTCGTACAGTAAATTAACATTTTACCAAATTAACTTTGGGTTAGGGTCACTTTTAAATTATGGTTAGACTCATTGATGCCTCAAAGCAGGTTTAGGTTGTTGTTCTTTTTAGCTTTCCACAATATTGATTGGTCTATTTTTACATAATACGTATCTCCCTTTATACGACCTTAAATAAGGAAATTGAAAAATGGGTTATTTTAGTATGTACTGTAACATTTCTAAGTTACATTTAATCCAATTAATTGAATTGTAAATACGTACGTACGTACGTCGTACGTACAGTATTTGTGATTTAAAATTACTCATTGGGCCTACTTTTCGGTAAGCGAAATATAGAAACTCCTGTGAAAATAATATAGTATATTTTATATTATAAAATTTCCGGCTGCTTTAAAACTACTACCCCAGAAATCATTATAATTAAATGAATATATTTTCTATTTGTTAGGAGTATCATCTCATAGACAAAAGTTCGCCTGATTGACTAATAAATTCAATTTAATTTTACATTATTTATACAGTTTAAAGTACTTTTTAGAAAAAATAATATTCGAAGAATAAACAAAAAAGAAACATATAAAAAGTTTATTAGGGTTGTAGGACTCGACCATTAAAAATAATCCGAATCAATTCTGGTTTTAGAGAAGTTAGCATGGTAATAACTTATCTTTAAAAAGTCGCTATTATGTTAACTTCTCTAAAACCAGAATTGACTTAGATTAGTTTTAATGGTAAGTCCTACAACCCTAATAAACCTTTTTATATGTTTTATTCTTCTAGTTTTATTTTTCTAAAAAGTACTTTAAACTGTATAAATAACGTAAAATTAAATTGAATTTATTAGCCAATCAGATAAACTTCTGTCTATAAGTATCATCAGAATTTATTTTGTATCATCATCTGATTGGTAATAAAGTTATGTTTTTTTTTGTTAGACTAATGCTCTTAATTTAATTAAAATTATTTTTATAAAAAAATATTTATTCTAGGCAACTAAAAAATAAATAAAAGGCATGTACATGTAACAAATTATCATGCTAATCACTTTTTTCAAGAAAATTCTTGAATATATGCAAGTTAATATACATCAATACAATATAATAAAATAAATAAATTTATAAAACATATATACAAAAGTAAATATGATTATATATGCAAAATCAATCTAAGAGCTAGCTTTATTAATATAATAACAATAAAGATAAAATATGAAATAATAAAAAAATCTAATTATTTGTTTAGTAGAAAGTGTTAATTTTACAAAATTCTTAATAATAATTAATATCAATACAGTCAGATCTCCCTAAATGCAACCTCTTTAAATGCATGATTTCTTTAAATACATGGCTTGGCTTTGTCCCAACTCATATGTTACTTGTAGATTTTTACCTCTCTAAATGCAATACCTCTCTAAATACAAGGTTTTTTGTTAGCCTGACACTATGCATTTAGAGAGGTCTGCCTGTATATTAAAAATATAGTTATTAATATAAGAGAAGTAATAAATATATATGATAGAAATAAAATAAAAAAATTAAATAATATATACAGTATAAAAAAATTAAATATATATAAGTAAAATATAACTGCTTTAGTAGGTTTAAATTATCTTTGTTTTATAAACATTATGTATATATATAATAAAGACAAAAAGTATATTAAATATATAAAAAACTTTTATAAATATACACATCACTTTATTTCAAATAATATAACAATTTATAAATTTAATCCTCTAAATACACACCTCTCTATATACACATTTTGCTTTTTTTTTTTTTTTTACTATGATCCCGAGGCGTGGACTCAGAGGGTTGCAACTGTGTAGGTTATTTGTCGCTATATGGGAAGTGAAAACCAGAAATCTAAATATAGATACAGTATAAAAAAATATAAGTTTAGACATCTGAAGTTTTACTTGGTGATACTCATACCATTATATAAAATTATTATTATTTAGAATTATTTATTAATAACTTAGAAATAAATCCAATATTCGAAATTCCTTCGTACATGCGAAATATAATTTAATAAAAACTAGAATTTAGCATGAGATTAAAGCTTATATTTAATAGATGTATTTTAATGCATGGTTACATATATTGCTAAAAAGGTACGAGATGTTAAATTCGATTTACCCGATTCCACTTAATTAGAATTGCGTGTTTCATAATCAAGATTCACCTAAAAAAGAACTTTTTAAGAAGTAGACATACAGTATCGATATATCTGAACTCTCAATCGAATAACGAAATTATGAAGAATTTATCATATGTAAAAGTATGCAATATTGAGATACATTTATCAGGAAGAACCAAAAGAGGATTACATTATTTCTATGACAGCATGTGACAGTTACAATCTAGAACTTTATCATGCATATCGATATCGAAATCTTTCTCAGATTCGCAGAGAATTAGTTATGGCGTACTCTCGTAAGACAAAATCAATATAGATAATAAGGAACAGCACAGCCACTTTCTCTTTTTAAGAAGAAAAGAAATACTCTTCATGATGCCATGGTTACACTCGTGTCACGATAACGTTCGTGAAAGAAGATGGCTTGTATGTATACATGTACGGTATAACAATAAATATTAGAAAATCGAAATTGTGGAGATGATGAAAATTCATTGCTTAGTTTCCTAAATATAATAAGTAATGTTGTTTGTTGATCATTTAATGTTTCTGAAACTGAAATACATTTCTGGCCCATTACTTCATTGACAGCGTCTTACGGAATTTTCCGCAAACAAATACAGTATTTACATATTGTACTGCACCAGGTACGTACGTACGTACATACGTACGCGAGTGTATCTGGTATATAGATTAAGATTATTCCTTTATTTTTTTGTATATAGCTAACATTTATTATACGTAATTAATGCATAGAATACATAAATTGAACATATGTTAAAATACTTTAACTAACACTAGCGCTAATAACAATGACAATAAGGTCATGATTGAGCCCAAAAATTGTCCCAAATGCACTTAGACGATCGAAACCTTTTTTTTTTTATATTTGATATTTAGTATTTTATTATTTTATTATTATGCTAAATATTAATATTGTGTTCATGCTGCGTGCGTACGTACGTACTGTGATTTGAAGAAAAATAGCAACAATGACGATACTCCGTAAATATTTTGTTAGGCGCAGGTACTGCATACTACATTTGTAACCGGATTGTCCTAATGTCTATATTCGGTGAAGTGATCTAATCAAAAAAATCGTGAAAATTCTTTTTGGGCAAATAAAAAAAATTCCAATTATATTAATGATGAAAATAATGAAAACTCCTGCTTACATCTTACTTTGTACGCACGATCAGCTTTACTTTTTGTATTTTATGTAACAAAATATTCCAAACTTGTTTCTCAACCCTTCCAACTCCCACGCCTCCTTCTCACCAACCATCCATTTTCTATCACTTTCTATCCCTAAAATCTTCATCTCCTTTGTCCGTTTTGCATATTCTGCGACGACTCTGAAATGTGATGACTCGAAGTTCGAATAATTAATATACAAACTATTTAATCTACAATTTTTTAGTAAGTCATCTAATTGAATAGTAGTGAACCCGCACTCTAAAACCAAGCATTCCAGAGACTTTGGTAAATCTCGCGAATTTAGTATCATATTTTCATAATCTCCATTTTTTACGTTTATAAAGATTTCCAACTTTCCAAGTTTTATCAGTCCGTGCAAAAGTTTCCCAATTTTAATTGGTTTTTGTATGAAACAATTTTCTAATTTTAAATGTCTGATCTCTTGGCAATTATTTAAAATCGCGGCAATTATTTCCTGATTCAATAAATCTACTATTAGTTTCTTCACTGTTTTACCAAATATTGGTAATAGTACTAATTGTGTGGAGTATGATACCGGTGAACATCCAAATTTTAATGACTCCAATGAAAATTGTGCTTGTAATAATGATGTGGATTCTGTTGTCAATCCTTGACAATACTGAACCGTCAAATGTTTTAAAGATTTACATTTTGTTAACGGAAATAAATTGACATCGGTGAAATCCATCCATGTGAATTCTAATGAATGTAAAGATTCGTTTTGTGATTCTAAAGCTTGCAAAATTATTTTTATACCATCTGCTGATCTCGCTCCTGACAATAAAAGCTCTTTTAAATTTTGTTGAGAAATAATAATTCTTGAAAAATTTTCCATTATTGCAATTTCATTGTTTCTATTAGGATATGAAGAAAGTTTTATCTCCAAGTGTTGTATTCTCGTACATAATTTCGAAATAGTTTGTAATAATGACATGGTATTTTCTGATATTTTTTGATGAACTTCGAACTGAAAATTTGAAAGATTCGATAAACTACGATGAGAATTCATGAATGTAACCTTATCCGGAAGGTCCATTTTACCAAAAAATTTAGAAATTAATAGACATGTCATATTTGTACTATCTCGCATGATTAGTTGACAAAGCGATGCAACTATTAATAACGTTTGTGTATGTATGCTGTGACCTATAAAATCTTGACTGAGATATTTTCTTATACCGGCATCAGCTGACAAATACAAATTATTATACGAAAACTCTTCCAAGTATCTCTCATATTTGAATAACGCTTTCGCTGCAAAAGGAATTTTGATCTTGAAAGATCTTAATTTAAAATTTAGATTGCATTTTTCTTCTTCTTCAAGACAAGAAATATAAGTCCTGACAAGTTTATGTCGATTATCACGAGACACAATATCAAATGGTCGATTCCATAAAAGAGGCAACGCGTTACTACACCAATATTTATCCACCAAAAGACATGAAATGAGATCTTGTATTGATTCTTCGTTGACGTGTCTAAATATAATTTTCATAGTTTCTGCTGGCAAAGTTGGCAATATTTTCATCTTTTCATCTAATAAAGCGTTGAGCTCTGATCGAGAAATAGAAATCACCGAGTCATGCCGTAGCTCTTTCCTTTCTCCGTTTAGCACGCCATCAATAGCTTTAAGCACTGTCGGTATAAGTGTTGATGTTGTCTTATAATCATTGAATATTTCTTGTGAATCGTCTAAAATTTTTTCAGTAAAAGATTGTTGACTTTTCTTTTTTCTACAAAAGGTTTTTAATATAAATTTACAAAAACAATTTGCCATTTTTCAAAGAAGATTAAAGTAGATTGGATGATTAGACTTGAAAACTTTCTTTGACAAACGTATTTATATATTCATACCGATACCGTCACACGATGTTTTAATCTAAAAATCGTATTCTTTATTTAGTTAGTCTCTTTTTTGGTGTACGAACTCGTGATATTATAAGTACAACAAAAGATCAAAAAAGTACAAAATAATTTAACGATCAATAGGGGCTGTGATTTTTGTAATAAGGTCCAATTATGATTCTCTATTAATGTTTTTTGTTGACGTACACGATAAAAATTGAATTCTTATTTCCACATTTGTACTTACCAAACTTGGAAAATGTGGTGACTCTTATATGCGCAGGTATATTAAGTTAAAATTGATGAAGGTTGCATGATACCTAACCGTACGTACGTTCGTTACAAAAAAAAAATTATAGATTACGAAATTACGAGTAACGAACTTATTAAACAAATCACCCCAAGGCTCAACCTCGCATTAATTAGAGTAAAATCAACATCTATCACGATACTTTTAAGGATTCAATATCCCTATATATCAATGGACTATAAAGAGAGGTCAGCTGAGTAATAAACCTGTTCTGCTTGTTTCAAGGTTGGCTTAGCTATACTCTCAGCAACATAGCCGCATTAAATTAAATTCAATATCGATATTATATCGATATAATATCGATATTTACTTTTTTTAAATTAACAGTTGACCTTTTAAATCTCGTATTTAGACTCCTTCAATTTGAATCTATACTGAGCACGAAGAATCTCGCTCAAGACCCCACAATAGATCTTTATAAATTCCGGCATTTATGTTTTCTTGGTGAGAAATCATTATAGAAAAGTAAATTCTATAATTACCCTTTTTAACACAAAACTACCGTCAAATACTAAAAGGGTTTTTTTTCATTACTTGAGGTATTCCCGATAAACCTGGTATCAGGCAAAAAAGTTGGAAGGTATGCTCACAATTTATATATAAATTTTTATTTCATACTCAGATAATCAATTTATTTAATATTCAATGACGTATTGAAATTTTTTTTTTTTAGATATTATTGGGTTATTTACCATTGGATAAAAGAAAATGGAAAGAAGCGCTTGCTGAGCAAAGATCAACATATTACGTACGTAACGCAATATTTAGGTTTATAATTTCCATATATATTCTTAAAGGGTATCATTTTTTAGAGTTTCGTCAGGGATTTGCTGGCAGACCCAAGCGAAGAAGAACTCAAAGACTATCATTCTTCTGATGATCATCCTTTGAACTCTTCACCAACTTCAAAATGGGCGGAGTATTTTTCTGATAATGCAATACTTGAACAAATTGATAAAGATGTTAGAAGAACATTACCAGACTTTGCGTTTTTTCAACAACCAGTTTATCAGAGCCCTTTAAGTCCATTGAGTCCAAGTCTTAATGCAAAGTACATAAATAGAATTAATGGTACACGCTCACCATCCATATTGGATGTTTTAGATAGCAATAATGATGATAATACCAGCTTTAGCAGTTATAATGATTCAATATTGACAAATCTAGAATTAGAATCTGATGTTTCAAATTTAGATTCTCAATTGACTATAAGATCTCAATCAATTCCGTTTCGGATAGATGTTATGACAGCTGTTACTCCTATTACTACTCGTAGATCCATATTCAAACGTATTCAACATTTGAATAAAGATTTCGGAAATAGACGCACTCCTTCTCCTGCACCAAGTTATAGGTCTGATGGGTCACGAGATTATGATACCGAGGTTGATTTGCATTGGGAAGCCGTTGAACGGATTTTATTCATATATGCAAAATTGAATCCCGGTGTTGGATATGTTCAAGGCATGAATGAAATACTTGGTCCCATATATTATACGATGGCTAATGATTGTGAAGAAGAGGGAAAAGGTAAATATTGTTTGTCAAGAGTTAATATTCGCAAATGAGTTATAATTTTATTCACAGACGATTTTAAATATGCAGCACATGCGGAAGCAGATTCATTTTTTGTGTTTACTCTTTTAATGTCTCATATTCGTGACTACTTTGTTCGAAGTTTGGATATGGATGATACGACCGGTATCGGACATACCATGAAAAAAATGATGCGACGCTTAAAAACATTCGAACCTAAATTATGGATTGATTTGGTTTGTAATTTTATGTAATAAAGGTACACATAGTTATTATAAATAATTATATAAACTAATAGCGATAAATATTTTTTAGGAACGAAAATCCTTAAACCCTCACTACTATTCATTCCGCTGGTTAACTGTTATGTTAACTCAAGAATTCTCTCTTCCGGATGTCATTCGTCTCTGGGATTCTATATTTGCTGATAATGATGATGATGATGAATTATCCAGTGGATTTGAATTTTTAGTGGACTTTTGTTGCGCGATGCTCATGTGAGTATATACATATAATCTATTTTGGTAGGATATTATTTACTTACAATTGTTTTTAGATGTGTGAAAGACGAATTACTTCATGGGACATATGCGGATAACATCAAACTTTTACAAGTAGGTTCATTTATTAAAGACTAATAAATGTATATAGATGCACGTTGATATTTATAAGTGCATAAATTTTGATCATTGCTTACCACATTATTGTCTGCTTATGCATCAACTAGAACTATCCAATACAAGATCCTAAGATGGTTTTGTTAAAAGCATATGCATTACGTGAAATGCGTCTTTTAGCTAAACTAAATGGAGAAGATATTGATTCATCTTCAGAATCTGAAGGTGACGATTACGAATATTTTTCATGTATTTATTTATCCTTATAAATTTCAATTCTTCTTCATCTTTAAATCGCTTCTATTTAATAAATATTATTTCATTCTTTTTATAGATAACGATAACAGCACAGATTATGATGATTCAACTATAACGCAACATCCATCAAAGTTAAATGTAAATGATATGAAAATCAAAGGGTTGGCAATGTTGAAAAGACTTCAGGGAGCTATGAATGGTATAAATGGTAAAGGATTGAATGACAATAAGAATGGATTTTTTGGTGTATTGAACAATAACAATGATGGAATTAATGTGATGAGTGAATTTGCAATGAAATTTACAAATGCTTGGAAGAAAAATTTTATCGATTAATTACTGAATTAATTTCAAGTGTTATGTTTTTTTAAAAAGTACTTTAGTAAATTAATATTTTCTTCCGTACTGCATAAAAACAGTACGATTCGTATTATTATTGTGTAAAAAAAAGTCGTTACCTTTTTGTTTTATACAATTGTGTACTGTACATTACTCATTTGTATTTCTTTGTCGTTCCATTAAAAAATATTAGATTTTATCTAAAAAATGAATGATTCCAAAAATTTCCGTGAGGATTGAGGTACGTGTAAAATATATCTGGCAAAATATATTTTTATACGTACTTTGAAAAATAGATTATTATGTATTTGGCAAAATCTATGATTATGTGACAAATATATGGCAAAAATTTATGTATATGAAATTTTGTATTTAAAATATAAGATTAAAGATAAATCGTATACCGATACGTATTTATCTTCTTTTTTTTTTTAAAGAAAAAAAATGAACGTCGTTGATATAATAATGTTTAAAAAAAGTTCTCTCAAATAATTTGACTACTAATCTGAAATCTATTTTTTATTCACAAAAATAATACACGTTTGTATCATTTACAAAAAAAGGTGATATATACATTATGAGTTGTTCATAATCTATAGAGAATTTTCTTCATGCAATACGATATATATTCGTATATACATTATCTTCCTTTCTCAAACCTTTAAACCTCTATCTACAATTCTTTCTATCGGATTTACATGATTACACATATTACATGCATTAAATTACCATTTATCAATTTCATACCAAGGAATAAGTTTAACTCCACGTCTTTTTAATGCTTCTAATTCATTTGTCTCTCTAACATTCCATCCTATCCTTCCACTAATTCCTAAATATCTTAACGTTCGTCTAGCTTTCACAAATTTTGTAATAACCTTTAAATCTGAATGCTCGAATTTTATAAAATCTAAGATTAAAACTTTTAAAGGCGCCATACAATCTCTTAATAAATCTTCTAATTGTATTGAGGTGAGTCCACATTGTAATTTTAGATATTCTAAAGTTTTAGGTAATTCTCTTCCAGAAATGATCATATATCTATTTGCGTTGTTATGATAAACTGATATGGTAAGTCGTTTGAGTTGACGGAGTCCTCTAAATAATGAATATACAAGAGAATTATGATGTGGTAAATAATCTAAAAGTTCAAGTTCAGTTATATTAGGACAATAGAGGATTGTGGCATCTATTGTTTCTCTGGTTATCACATCGTAACTTAGACATTTCAGATTTTCTCCTGCAGCTCTAATCAATGCCGCTGATATTAATGGTGATTTCGTGGAATTTTTTAAACGCAATTTTCTTAAATCAAACTTTATGTGACTCCATATACTTCCTGATCCTCCTTCACCTGTTGATGTACTACTACCTTCCATAGTCAATCCTCTATAATATAATAACGATAAATTTCGAAGTTGTCGACATACCGCGAGTAATCCCAAAGAATCAGCAGTAAAATCAACATTTTCAAATTTTATGGTGGTTATGGATAATGATTGACATTGTAGAGCTTGTATAATGTCACTGGATTCTCCACTTCTTACACCATCAAGATTAAATTCGATCAAACTTTCTTGAGCTCTAATTATCTTTATGATCGCTTGTATTATATCTGTATTATTTTCAAAAAATAAAATTTTAACATCTAGACAACGAATTTTTTTACACAAAGATGGAATTAATTCTAATAAACGGATTGTATTTTCCATCATTGGTTTTGTGCAATCAATAGAAAGGTTAGAAATGTTTCTTAAACCAGGTTGTCCGGAACTGAATATTGAACAATCTGGTAAATCAGAATGGTTAAGAAATTTGTCTATTATAAAAGTTTTTAAACTTTTAGAATTTCTCATGAATAATTGACATAATGTGGACGCTAAAACGAGTATTTGTTCTTCTCTATTACGAGCTACAAATTCCTCGGTATTCCATCGACATATACACGAATATACTGCTGTCTCAACGTTTTTATACGAAAATTCTTCCAAGAACATTGGGTAATTATATAAAGGAGGGGCTAGATCAGGAATTGTGATGTTATATGGCCTCAAAGAAGCATTCAATGCGGCTTTTTCTTGAGCGGTAAGGGATGCCAGGTAAATCAACATGAATTTATATCGATTTTCTGGAGGCAATTGTCCTTCAAATGGTCGAGCCCATAAAAAAGGTATAACGTTATTACACCAATATCGATTTACCAACAAGAATGGGTATAATGATCCTACGCCTTGATCTGCTATATGTTGAAGTATTTGTTGCATACATTCTGTTGGCAAGGATGGAACACGTAATTTCGAGAACGTTTTAGAATGATTAGAGAATAAGTTGACTATTATTCTTGATAGGCAACATAATTCATCCTCAGGCATGTTTTCACAATTGGAATACTTCATAGTAACCGATTGATAAAAATTTTTGAATTTTCGTTTATTTATACAAGTTCTTTAAGAAAAAAAAAAAAAAAAAAATTTTAGTGTAGTCCGTGTTAAGCATGGTGTGTAGATCCTAAATATAGAATTTTATGCATATTTGATACATGCATTGATACATGCACCATTCAATCATTTCTTTAAAAATCAATCTGGTATGCATTCATTTCGTTGTTTAGAAGAACAATGATCGTTTTTTTAACGAAGGCGAAAGAGATGAGCCACTCGTCCGACCGGATGTCAACAATGCTTAACAATGGTTTTTAACAATAGGTTCGGCTGCGCCACAACTAATCGCCTTCCTTTTTTAATCAATTCAGGTTTTGGCAGAAGTACAAACCTCTAAATATAGTTTCATCAATCTATACTTGAGTACATTTGAACAATCAACTGCAAATTAAGTAATATCTGATATCAAAATAGTTTATATTTCCTTCTAACCTTGAATAATGATTGTAATATTATAAATTGTATAATCTACCTCCGTCATGGTATAGTGAATAAGCAAGATAATGGATTATTACAGAGATAACCTTAATCATTGTGATCTTTTTGGGCACAAAGATAATAAATAATTTTCTAAAAAAAAACAAAAAACAAACCTTAATAATCATGTAAGGTTAAAAACTATCGCGTCGCGTCAAATTAAGCCATTATTACTATAGAAATCGAAAAAACAATATTAAATTGAAACTGCGAAACAAACACGAGATTAAATCTAAATTGATATCGGTTATAAATAATTCGTTTTTTTCTTTATTTTTTTAATCAATAAGTTAAATTCTAAGTCCCTTGGATCTGGATGTTTTATTATTAGTATATATTATTATTAAATTAGGAAATTAGTGTAAATGACATTTACGCATTTTTGTGAGAAATTACAACTTAAATTTTTACTATAAATGACCATTTTTTTTGTAAGTTTTATCTTCCCAAACACCTATCGTCTAGCTCAACCTTCTAGATATAATACAGTATTAGTGAATTAGATTAAAATTATATAAATTAAAATAATGATTCCAACATCTAATAAAATAATAATTTTAAAGAACTTATTTTAATTTTAACACAATTGAATATTGCAGAAACAATGTTTTTAAAAAAGTATTTTGTCGCGGTTAAAGCTAAAGTTGAGAATCGTATTCTTTATTTGAACATATGGGACGTCGTCAATCAAAACGTGCCATAGTGAGATTAAAAATATTATTATGTATAATTAACTGTAACATGTTATTTGTAACAACTTACTCAGTAGAATAAATAATGTCGAACATTAATCAATGACGCCCCATGTACAATTAATTTTTATTACCAATTTTTTAATCTCACTATGGCACGTTTTGATTGACGACGTCCCATATAAACTCCACTAAATACTGCTTATACTATTAAATTCTAACATTAAATCTAAACATTATTCTAAACAAAGATTTAAAATTTAGATTAAAATAGGGTGTTTTATTTTTAACTCATCTTAGTTTAACTGCAATTAGTGCATGGCAAAATCAAGGTTTCAAGTTTTTGAATCCAACGATTTACAATATTGCTCTTTAATTACAAAATCTATTTTTACTCTAATCTGACTTTAAACTTCATGATAAGTTACCACGAAGTCTAAAGTAAGTTCGGATACCTGTTAGATTTATATATTTACTAAAAATAAAATTTGTATTTAATGCCCAATATTGTAAATTGATAGATTCAAAAACTTGAAAATCAAGTTTTTGATCTGATTTGCCGTGCACTAATCAAATAACGACCAACTTTATTGATTAATCAACAACTCACCCAAGAACTTCAAATTCAATACAGTTATCTGTAAGGTTTTCACCAGTTCGTTTATTGATCCATTCACCATCTTGATATAGTTTATCTAGTTCCAATTGTTTGTCAGAAATCATTGCATTAAAAAATTCTTCATTATCTTTCCATTCGAATACATCATCGGGTATGCAATCACGAAATATTTTGACGTTGAAAGATTCATAAAGCAAAAGTGCAATGTGTGTAGGTGATTGCCGAATCACCTTTCCAGCTATATTAACAAAGATAATCAAAGTCAAAAAAAAAAAATAAATGCAATTTTTTTTTTTAATATTTTGACACTTACTTAACCTACATCCCTTTGATGCGTCCCAAATAACGAAATCAGCTTGTACGTAGAAATGACAATATGGTGAATCTTCGTATATATATCCTGATGTATTACATAGCTTAATGTTTTCATATGCAAGAACAATGCCGTTAAATTCTTCGACATATTGCATTATCAGCGCGTTCATATATGTATAAATTCCTTGGTCGAAATCTTCGAAAGCTTTAGGTGGCAAATCAATGAGCATTTTTGCTGTGACTATCCGAAAAGGCGAATTTTCTGCTTTTTTTGCGTCAACCGAAGTATTGGACAACGTGTGATTTTCGACTTCATGTGTCGTTAAATTATTTGAGTTTGTTTTAGCGTTATTATTTACTTCCAACACTGTTTTAACTTCTTTTTTGTTTGATTTATGTTTCTTATCTTTTTTTTTTGATTTTTTTAGCTTTTTTGATTTTTTATCAACTTTATCTTCAAAGTTAGGATTAGATTCTTTCGATATGATAATCTCATCTTCGCTCAATTTGCGTTTCTTATTCTTGCTTGATTTTTTTGTCTTTTCATTTTTGGATCTTCCTTTTTTTTCTTTATGTTTTTTATTAATAGGTTCCATGAAATTCGATATTTTTTATCGATCAACAAATTTAATTTAAATCAAGAAAACTTGTGCGTCAATAGAGTTTGGAACCGGATTTGATCTTCGGATTTAAATCCGATTTTCTTTGGATTCGATTAATCCGAATCCCACGCAGATCGATTTTACATAGTAACGTTACACGTACTTTTAGAGCGTAATAAGAAAACTTGTAAAACTCTAAAAATTCAACTATTATACTTTAATAAGTTGTTTTACAGACTCTGTTGCATTTACAAGTAGCCTTCTTATTTTATTTTTTTACTTACTTTTTTATATATTATGAGGTTAAAAAGTGTAATATTTTTAATATTTTTTTTTTTTTTATTCTTTGATGATCTTGCCAAAACTTGTATACAGTTTACAAATTAATCTCGAAAGACAATTGTAGTTGAAAACAACATAGCTGCAACTAAAAGCCCGACCTCACCCGGTTACCTATTGGCACCTAGCTGTGACCATCACACTAATTTATAGATAATTCAGATTATATACTAGCTCTTAAAGAACTAAAATATTAAGACTAATTTCCCTTCTAATTCTTTTTTTTTCTCAAGGGGCACAAGACAAAAAGGGGGAAAGAAATAAAAAGTTCTTTAACAAATATAACAAAAAAAATAAAACAAACAAAAGAAAAAAAAAAACACAGATTTCAAAAAGAAAAAACAAAAAGAAAAAAAAAGATCTAATAGTACTATTATAATCTGTATAAGGCTTAAAAATTACATAACAAATGCAATATTTGTATATCTCTGCTGTAAGACTTTGCCTTAACGTATTAGTTTCTTTCTGACTATATGACCAATTCTAGGTATACCTTTAACCATAAACTAGTCAACAGACTTTGTCATGTGGAGTAGTGACGTGTTTGTTATCAAACAAAACACATAGTTGCAATCTACTGGGTCAACCAAATTTGGAAGAAGTAAACAATGCTGATCTTTTGACAGGGATAAGCTATTTTGCCCACTTTTTTCAAAAATTTTGTTGTAAGCACAAGTAGGTGAGAGTAAAAAGTATAGACCTTGTACTTTTTTTAAAGAAGAGTATATTTTTTGCTAAGAATAATAAAACGAGTAGATCCAAGTGCACTACTGATATTCTTTTTGATAAGTGATAAACTCTGAACTTGTAAGCAAGTAGTGTATAAGAACTACTTCTAAATAACAAGTGACATCCCTATGGTGAGTGATAAGCTCTAAATCTATTAGCAGATAGTGTATAAAAACTATCTCTAAATAATAGGTGCTGGTTTATGGTTCTTGTCAGTTTTATATTCTTCTTTTCTAGTATAGTTTTACTGTTTTTGTTGAAAATTTTTGTTTTGAAAAGTTGGTCCAAGTGATTGTTAGAAAGAGTGATTGTGCCTTCACAATATTTTTAATATTATTGTTCAAATTATTTAATTTTTTTTAATGAATTACAATTTTTTATATATATATAGTATTTTTTTTGGCAGTTCTGCCTTTATTATATAAGAGATATATATTAACTATACAAAGATTTTTAGTTACTATCTATACACTCTTTTTTTTGTTTTAGATAGAAATTAGGCCTGGATAAGAATTATTTAGATAATCTGTATAAGTACTCTTATCTAAGTAAAAACTTTGTTAACTAGTTAATTCAAATAAAAAATTAAAATTTAAAAAATAAATAAAACAAACTAGTTTATCAAATTAAAATATGATTTATGATATTATTTGAACAAAAGTCAGATTCATTTGATTTGAATATTTTTAAGTTTTGAAATAACCTGATTTATTTGTATTATATTATTATATTAGCTAGTTTTAATCTTTTAAGTTTATTACTAAAACTTTTTGTTTTTATTTTTTATTTTTTTAAATATTAAAGATAAGACCATGCTCTTATCTTTATTAAACTTAATGAAAACTTTTTACATAATTGGAAAAGATTTTATATTTTAAGTCTAGTACTAAGAATAAGAACCAGACTAACTAAGTGTTTAATAAAAGCAAGCCTAGTGTTTTATTTGTGGCCTAAACCTAACTAAAACTTTTTGTAAATTAAAAACTCTAAATTATTATTTGATTTTTGGAATTAATAATAAGAAATACAAAATTTTTTTGATATCTTAATCAGATTATTCAAGTTAACTAAGTTGTAATCTGGATAAAAATTTTTTATATAGGTTAGTTATTTGGAATAAAAATTTTATATAGGCCTAATTTTTATTTTTAGATATCCAAATATAATTTGCTATAACAACTTTTTTTTTTCTGGCTTTCAACTTACTAAAAAAATATTTATAAAACTTTAGAAAGATAGTTGCTAGCCTTGTCAAAACTATATTTATAAATTGCATTTAGATGATTTATACAAGCTTGACTACTTTAGTTTTCTATTAAACAAATCTAATTTTTTAATCTTCTTTTCTACTTTTTTTCAAAGTTTTTTTTTTATTTCTTTATTTATATATATATTTTTTTTATTTTAGCTTAGCTTTTTGTCCGTTTGTTTTTATTTTTTTGAACTGCGAGCTGTTTTTTTGTTTACTTCTTTTTTTCAATTTATAATTCCTATACTTTACTTCTATTTATTCAATACTTTATATTTTAGTTGCTATATTACTTTTTAAAAACATTTTTATAATATTAAAAAGGATTTTTATTTTAATATTTTTTTTTTTGTCTTTATTTAAAAAGGCTCAATTTATACTTTTAATATAGCTAATTCTATTTTTATATCTTTCTTTTTTCTTTTTCAGAGCTTTTGCAAGTTATTATATTATTTCTTTTCTTAAACCAATCTCTATTTTAGATTTTGGCTTTTTCAAAGGCTTCTTTTTTTATTCTTTTTTTTTTTTTTTTTATTTCTTAGACAGTCTAGTCGGAGCTCAAATACAAAATTATCTTATTATAGTAAAAGAAAAGCTACTCTATAAAAACTCTAATTTTAAAATTGCAAGCTCAACATCATCCGGCTACTATATTAAGTGCCTAGATGTGACCTGTCATACTAGTTCTTTATTGGACTAGAAGACTTTGTTAGCTTTGTTAAGAACTAAACCAGAAGGGGGTTTTCCCACTTCTTATTACTTCGTCTAATACTTCTCTAACTAGCTTGTCAACTTCAGCTTCCTTTTCTCTTCGTTGCTCTTTTTTTGACAACTTCTCACTATTGCTTGTCTTGCTTTTCTCTCTTGTTATACTATGAGTCTTTATTTTCTTCCTCTTTGCTTTACCTCTTAAAGCTACCAGGCCAGGACTTCTTAGTTTACTACATTTTTGCATACTGATTATTTTATTCTTTTTTTTCTATTCAGCTACTGCTTTGCAGCGTCTCTGCTATATTTTGTCTTGAAAACTCACTTCCACAACTTGAATATAGTTATGAATTATTTGGTTATATGTTTTTCTTGCAAGACCCATGTTATCTAATGTAGCTAGTACTTCTTTATACACCAGACTACCAACATAATTATCTCTTCTCGAACTACATACTGTATGACTTTTACCAACAATAACCTTCTTCAACTTGTCTACTAAAATACTTTTCTTAATGCAATGTTTGAGGCTTTTCTACATTAACAGTAATGCTATGTTTTCAATGTTATTCCAGTACCCCTCTAATTTTTCGCACCTAGCTAGATAGAATGGAGTTTCTTCTTCTTTTTTACATAAGATACACCTGTTATCTACGTATATTTCTGGCTTTTTTCTCCGTAAGTTCGACAGTACTAGAATATTTTGGCTTATATACTTCAATCTGAAAGTGATTCTTCTATTCATCTTATATGTTTTACACTTAATTCCTGTAAGCTTCTTGTTATAGTGCCAAAACTATTTCCAACTTTGTTTAGACACTATCTCAGTTTCTTTAGTCTTTACTGCATGTGATCGACACTACTCTGCCTCTATTTGCATATTTTTTATAATCTTGATAATCTTCCTTGTTAAAATTTTTGCATATATTCCATTCAAGTATAGAGCATACTTGAAACGGCAATTCTTCTTGAGTTCTAGCTTCAATATCTAACTTGTCTTAGCTCCTTATTTTGCAAGCTGGTCTGCCTTTTCATTCTATCTTATATTATTACGAGCCTTTACCTTGGTTAGTTTGAAATCTATATCTTTGAACTTGTACAAATCTCTTATTTTTGTTACCAGACTTGTATTTGGTCTTTGCTCCTATGCTTTGCTCATTTCAAGTGGTAAATTATCTATTAGGCTTGCAATTGTAGCTGTACTATCTAGTCTAATTTCTACCTTACTATTACTACCTACTATTAGTAGTGCTATCCATACTACTACCAACTCTGCTTTTGTTGATAATAGCCAATACCTTATCCCAACATACTCTTTTACTAGTATATCATCCTTATCATAGCTTACTTGCAACTATCCTGCACCCATTTTGCATTCTGTTAATCCCTTAATTACTGAATTATTTGTATAAAAAAGGTATTCTTCAGATCCTACTTTAAGGTTTGTTTCAAGTTGTTTAATTAATTTGCTCTCTAGTACTATATCGAAACCTTGTTATTTGATTAAGCTTTCCTTATATGTTTTAGATATTACTATACTTGTAACTTCTTCTTCTGTGCTACTTATTACCATTTCCTTTGTATTTACTTTGTATTCTATTACTTCTTCTAACACCAATAGTTTCATCATAGTTTTGTCTTGATTACTATAGAGTAGAACTCCTAGTACTCGCTTTTTTTTTTACCTACTGCTGACAAATATTACTACTCAGTTTAGCTTACAACTTCTACATTCGACTAGAGTTGAAGCATTTTCTGATCTATCCTGATTAACCTAATAATCAATTAAAACTTTGGTCTTTTGCTTCTTGCTAATTTTACCAACTATTGTCTTATCATTTTCTTTATTAACAAGCACTCATTTATATTTCCTTTTATCCTCAGATAACTGCTCTAACTGCACTTTTATTAATATACTGTTTATACCTTGCATTTGAAATTCAGCTCTAACTGTTCTATTTTTGTTATTTTGAAGTACCTTCCTTTTAATTTTCTTAAACTATTTAGACTTACATCCTTTTTGAGATCTGGCTCTTAGCAGTTTAAGTTTTCTCCATGTAATTAACTTGCAACCTATTTGATCAAATAGCTGTCTAATATAGTAGATATTATACTTTCTAATCTCACTACAGTATTTTAAAAATATCTTTCTATCTAGTACTTCATATATTGTTGGTCTGTATCTGTATATTTGCTATAGTTTATTATTTCTTCATAACATTATCTCCTGTTTACTTGCTTTTGCCATGACTAGGCCTGCCAGATTGTGTTTTCAGATTTTCTCTAGCATTTCTATATTTTCTAGCTACTATTTTTTGACTACTAACTCTGCCAATAAAAAACCTTCTGCTATACAAAGTCTGATAATATTTCTAACTTAATCTTTACCATTTAATCATGCCTGAAGTCCAACAAGTTGTCAGAAAAAAACTTCATAATGCAATGTCTTGCATCTTTCTATTCTTGGATGTAATATCAGATAATTACCTGCTGTGGCTGAGAGCCCAATTTTATACTTGATTAACTTTACTATTGGCTGATAGATTTTTGTGAGACCAACATGTAAAACCTTGGTAGTCTGCAATATGTATGCGAGTTTTGGTATAATACACATATTGTTTATATATATAAGCTGACTAAATGAAAGGCTCTTGGCTTGCATTGTTCTAGTAAAGTGCTTTACTATGCCTTTGACTTTCTTTACTACCAATTTCTTATTAACTTTGTACTTAGCCAGATCTTAAGAAGTCTTGTTAAATCACCTTTGCCAACTACTTCAAGTAGGTACCTGTCAATTCTAATACTTTTCTTCTTTTTATTCAACTGCAAGTTTAGTACTAGTAGCTTTAACTTCTGGCTATTTATCTGTATATTATTGAACTTGAAAAAATATTGGGTGATTTTAAATATTTTCTCTATTTGCTTTTTATTTTCCCCTAACTATGTCATGTTATTGGCAAAAGCAACTGCTACTTGTCTTATTACTATCTTTCTAACTTTGTTTTCTCTTATATCTAGTAGCTCCTCTCCTTCTATCTTGTATTCTAACTCAGGATTATCTTGGATTCTGTATAGCAGTGGGTCATAAAATATTCCCCATATTAGCAAAGAGATTGTCTTTCCTTGCTCTATACCATCTCCTGCCTCAAACTCTTCTATTAACCTGAGACACCAAGTCATAGGTCTTTTTCATATCTTGCAGCATTACCCATAACTCTTTTTTACTTTTTTTGGCATCTTCTATAACCATGTCGACTAAGTTAATTGCACTATCTGTTAAGCAGCCAGGCAGCCCAGCAAAGTTCGGGCCTTTAGCACTTCTTTTTCTACTAATATGCTTGCAATTTACTGTGTAACTACATATGTTAGACATTTTCTGAAGGTTTCTAGTAATGCAATTGGCCTAATATTGTTTAGCTGATATTTCCAGTTTTTGTTTTTTGGAATTAGATATATTTGTACTAGTTTCCATTTTGTGGAATTATACTATTATCTAAACACAAGGTTGCAAGCTTTACGAAAACCTCTTGCACTTTACTGCTTACATTTTTAATAAGTGTGTATCCTATTCCTGTTACCCCAGATGCTGTTTTGTTACTAGTCTTACTCAAAGCAATGGACTACTCATCTATTGATATCTTATCTGATAAATGACTAAACCATTCCTTACTTATTTCACCTAATGGTTTATAAAATTCATTTATAATCTCTGCCTTGAGCTTAACATTTCTCTCTTTGAATTAACTCTGGAAATATTCTTTGGTCTTTTCTAACACTTTGTCTGGCTCATTATATAATGTTCTTTTACCACTAGTTTGCTCAAAAACTCTGTCAATATTAATCTTTTTGTAGGATTTTTCTAATATACTTGCTAACATTTTCCTGATATTACTATCTATTCTTTCAAACCTTTTGTTTATTGTCTTTTTTATTTCAGTATGAGTACTACTGTCCTCTGCTGCTTTTTCAAGTACATGCATTGCTTTTCAACTCTGCTTTGCTGCTATTAACTATACCTGCAATAATGTGCTATTGCTATTTAATTTATCTAACAACATTATATATATGTTGTTAATATGTTTTACTACATTATTAACTTTCTTTATCTCTGCTTCATCAACCTTATGTATACTACTTTTCTTTTTAAATACCTGGATTACTTTGCTTAGCTTTGTTGTATTATTATATATTTTTGTCCTTTTTCTTCTGTATCTGGTCTTGAAACCAAGGTTGTATACTTGCTTCTTTGGAATTGTCTTGTTTGCCGCTCTTTTAATTACATTTGTAATTGTGTCTCACAACTTATTTATATATTGTTTAGGGCTCTTAAATCTTGGATATTTGACTACATTGCTATTTAAAAGTAAACTATCAACCTGTTCTTTATAATTATTCCATTTCTCTTTAGTCGCTTTATTGTAGAAAAAAACTGTTCTGGTTGCTCTAGTTTTCCTTGTTTTGGCCATATTTCTTATCTTTATAAGATGTTTTAACATAATATCAGCTATAATAATACTGTAATCACTTGCTATTATAACCTCTACCTCTATAATTTTTGCTCTTGATACACCATAAACCAGATCTTCTGATACCAAAATTTGGTTTATTTGAGATTTGATACCTTGGCCAGACTACATATACATTCTTGCATACAGGTTTAGTGCTCTAAATATATCATTGAAACCCTGATTTCTAAATTATTTGTGAAGTGGCAACAACTTGTGTGCTATGTGTCTATTGCCCCCACTTTTGTCTAGCACTAGGTCTATTACTTTATTGAAGTTACCTATTACTATAAAGTATGTTTTGCTAGATCTTTCTATATACTTGGTAACAATTGTTCTCTGAAGCACCTTCTCTAACTCCTTATCACTTGGCAGAAAATATACTACTATTACTATAATTTTAGTTTGTCTAAAATAGAATTTAGCTTCTATTATATATTCTTCTACTCTTGCAACTTGTCCAAGATGCTTTTCCTACTTGCATCTACAATCAGCCCAACTTTTAAACCTTTCTTTTTTGTAATCATGCTTTGTGTTCAAAAACTTTTTTTACCATTACTCAACTTGCTAAATCTTAATTCTTTCTCATTTGTATTTGTTTCAACTAGCCCTAGTATATTAATTTCATTCTCTAACATTTACTCATCTATCATTTTAAGCTTTGTCTTATTCCCCTTAATTCTGTTGATATTGTGATATGCTATATTTAATCTAATATCTCTTTTCTGTATTAAAAGGCTTGACTTTGCTGTTTTGAGGCTAGATTCTTCTTGTACAACTTGATGTTAAGCAGCCTCTTTTCTCTTTTACAATGCCTGTAGCAACTTCAAGAGTGGTTGGGGTGTTAACTCTTTATTGTCTTTCTTCAATCTTAGTAAGCCTCTTCATAATTTTTTCTAATATACTACCAAGTTTTTCAACAACCACTAGATCACTAGAACTCATTATATTTTTTGTGATTTCTCTTGGGTGGTAATCAATTAATTGACAATCACTTCACTGACATAACATTTCACCAACAATTATTCACCGACATGTTCATTTTACCAACAGTTTATTTTACCAAAGCTCATTTCACCAACAAAGTAATTCTGGTCATTGTTGTTAGGGTCAGGGTAGAATTAGGTAGAATTAGAGCTAAAGTTAGAGTGCTTTTTGAAAAAAAACTTGTTAGTGAAATGAACTTTGGTAAAACAAACTGTTGATAAAATAAACTTGTTGGTGAGTATTTGTCAGTAAAATGTTATGTCAGTGAAGTGATTGTTGGTGAAATAATACGAACCCATTTCTCTTGTATTGCTTATTGACTTTTCATTACTTATCTCTTTTAGATTCTTCTTGTTTGCTCTTTTTTCTTCTTTGACTTCGAACTGAGTTTCAATTTTGAGCTTCTGTTTACGATCTTTAACTGCTTTATTTATTTCTCTCTTATTAAGTTCATTTGAGCCAAGAATATATTTTCCAGAGATTTCTCTTTTATCTGGAGGATGTCTTTCTTTTACCGAGTCTTGGTCTCTTCTCTTCCCAGGCCTCTTCTATATTTTATCACTTTTATCTAGCCATTCAAGCTTTGTGTTATGATAAAAGGTATCTCTTTCTTGAGCTAACTCTAGCTCTTCTCTTGATTTAAAGTACACCGATGCCATGCATTTTTGGTTTTGGTTATTATTATATGAAATATAAACTGATTTTGCACCTACTTCTTTCAACTGTCTTAACAATAGTACTTCTGTTGCTGATGTTAGAACATTTTTAACTACCCCTTTGAATCTTGTTCTACTCTCTAGTATTTCTTTGGCAAAAGCACCAGGTGTTACTCTTAACATTTTTCCTTCTACAAAATGTATTGACTATATAGCTTGGAAGGCTAACTTGCATTATGCATTGTGGTATTTAATTGTAAAAGAAACTGCCTTGTTTTTCTCTTGTGGCTTCTATTTTAAAATGCTTATTTTGCCATAGAAGTATAAGCATTTCCTTATTGCTTGTGACTACACATACAATGGTACAGTCGACCTCTATAATTGCACCCTCTTGAGACCATAGGACAAATTTTTAAAAATATTTATTTAGAGAGGGTGTGCATTTATAGAAGGTATTTTTACTATATTTTTATATATTTGGAACTAGTCCAAGGTATCTATTTAGAGAGAATTTATATATAGGTGCAATTATAGAGGGTGCAATTATAGAGGTTCAACTGTATATCTTATAGTGTAAATATCTTAGCCTAGTTGGTTTCATTTGTATTTGCCCTTACTAGTATTTCTTTCTGTTTATCACCTTTACTAAGCCTTTGTATATTTTCTACAATTTCAGTGCTTATTAATACAGGTATAACAATTGACATCTTTTCTAAATTTTGTACTAGCTCCTTTGTCATATTATTTTTTAATTCTTGGCTAGAAGGCTTCTTTTTATTTTCTACACTTAAATCTAACCCTGTATTACTTTTCTCAATCATTGGTATATATAGTAACTCTTTACTATTGACTTCGTCTATACTATAATCGACTACTCCACTCTCATACTCTATTAGCTTTTTTTTAATCTGTTCATCAAGTCTTGATTTTGCTATACTCTTGGTTAACTCTACCTCTCTGTCTTTACTCTTCAGATACTCGCTGTAGTCATATAGCTTTATTATTTTTCTAAATATACTTATTGTTTTGGGTGTAGCTCTGGTTAATACTGCTATTTCTCTGTCTTTCCATAGCACTAGATATGCATGTTCTTGTCTTGCTACATTTCACTCTTCAGGTAACTTTGTAAAAAAATCTTTGTACTCTTCTAATTTGCTAATCTAGTTTAACTCTGCCACCATAGTTTGTTTATTACATGTTGTCATCCTGTGTTATACCTGTTTAGTTCTAAATAATATCTTGTTTTAAATACTAGTTACATATGTATTATTTCGGTCACTATTTGTCTTGTACTTTGTTGACACGTTTGTTTACTTTGTATAATGTACAAAGATCTGCAGACTAGGGTAAGCCCGTTTTCCACTTTTCCCACAGAAATAAAAAAATTTTTAGCCAAAAGGCTATTTCGAAGATAATCTATACTACTTGCTATAGATTATTAAAAATTGTTCTAATACAAATTGTTGTATTTCCTTTGTTTTACAACTTTAGTTAGGTGCAAACTCTTGGTCAGCTTTAATGTTTAGCCAATTTTCTTTAATTTTCATTCTTCAGAATTTGGTCACAGTGATCAATGAGGAGAGTTGTTGTTTTTATTCTTTTTTACAATTCTTTATAAATCTTATAAATAGCTAAATATGCTAGATTCTCTTTTCTTTAAAACATACAAGATATATATTTATTAAATACAAATTTAGGTTTTTTCTATTTAGCTTGTCAAGAGTTGGCAGTAGCTTGTTTATATACTTTATGTTAAATACCTATTTGTAGCTACTTTTAAAACTTTTATATTTATTTTTTACTTTTTTTCTTTGTATCTTCTACAAAGTTATCTAATCTATTTGTTTTTTATTTATACTAATACTAATCAATTTGTCTATACTTTTACTATATAACTATAAATAAGAATAAAATTATTTCGGATTTTAAAATTTAAATTTAAAATTTAAAGATGAAATTGTTTTGATTTATCTTTACTTAAAAGATAAAATTTTATAATACTTTTTTTAAATAGATAAAATTATAAAAAATATAATTATATAAATTAGATTTGTTTTTTCTTATAAAAAAATTTAATTTGCTTTAGTGAAAATAAAATAGGCTATTTTTGAAAACCTATTTTCATAGCATATATATATAACCAACTTATATTATCCCTTAAATTGTAACACAGGCAAATTTGCCTGTGTTTTTATTAAAAAGTTTAATTTTTTTAATAAAAACTTATA